CTCTCTTTCTTTCTCTCTCTCCCTCTCCTCCCGCCCCCCTATCTCTCTCACTAATTCTGGCACGAGTTTCTCGATAACGCAGCGATCAATTCTGGTCTCTGTCATCAAAGGGCCATCTTGGAAAAGACATAACATGTCCGTCTGACTATCTCAAACAGATCTTCTCTCTCGTCTTCTGTAATTAAAGTAGAGATCTAATTCTGAATTCAAGATGGCGGGTGATAAGCTGCTTTCGTCTGCGCAGAATGTTTGACCTTGAGAATGCCGAAAAAGAAATGTCGGTTCCTTTGAGTTTGCTTTCTGTCTCCTGTTGTTTGGGTGGGTCTGGGATGTTTGATAAAGGCTAATGAGACAAATTTGGGGAGGGCAGACAGACAGACAGACAGACAGACAGACAGACAGACAGACAGACAGACAGACCGACCGACCGACAGACCGTCAGGTAGACAGGCAGGCAAGCAGGTATGTAGATTTTGAGAGAGAGGAAGGGGGGAAGAGAGAGGTGTGACTGATTCTTATCTGAGAAAGTGTAGAAATAAAAAGCAAGGAAATGCCAAGACGTTATATCAAAAGAGTCTATGAAAATAACAAAGTGTAGTGGGTGTGACAGTGCCCGGTCTGAGGTAATATTATGATTCTAGTCTATGTAGAGAGCCATGAGCGATAGTCATCATGCTGTCCGGTCTGGGATAATAATATTCATCATCATCATTGCCTTTCTCTCCCTGCACCAGGGTATAGGCCACGGACAAACACCTTCCACCTTTCTCTATCTTGGGCTAGCCGCTTGATGTTATTCCATGTCTTCCCACTTTTCTGTACATCGATTTCTGTGATTCTTCTCCAGGTTCACGCCGTCTTCCCCTTGATCACTTACCCTGTGGGTTCCAATCCAAAACGTTCTTTGTTATTCAGCTGCCTGACTTCCTGAGAGTAAGTCCAATCCATCGCCACCGCCTTCTTCCTACCTCATCTCTGACTTGGATCTGTCTTGTTTTCCTTAACACTTCCACATTGGTGGCCCTATCTGTCCATCTGATCCTCAGTATTCTAGCCTATTTAGAGAGCCAAAACCGGCGGCCATGACAGTGCCAGGTCTAGGGTACTACGCTACAAGTCTATGTAGAAAGCCACATTACGTATGTCACCTGGCCAGCCAGCCTCGAGAGCCTACAACTCCAAGCACTCCGGCTATAAAGGAAGAGGTAGGCCACACAAAAGGTGGATTGGGGGCGTTTTATTAAGGAAACCCGGAGAAAACATAACATCACAACTGAAAGAGCTGCGGAGTTGGCCTACCATAGGAAACTGCATCTCCTTTCGACGCTTAACGGGCAACAAAGGATGAAAAAGTAAAGTGGAAAGCCAATAGTGTCGGCCATGTCCGTTTCTGGTCTAGGATATGTTATACTACAAATGTATGGCGTGCACTCACTTGCAGGAGAGCTCGTCAGCGTTTCTCAGGTTGGTGTTGAACAGCGCCTTGGAGGTGAAGAACAGACATCCGGTGTACAGGGCGGTCAGGTCCGATAAGGTGAGGAAGCGGAGGTAAATCCCGATAGTGGATGTCCTGGGGAGGACAGTTGGACAATAATGATGATAATGATAATGATAATGATAATGATAATGATAATAATAATAACAACAACAACAACAACAACAACAACAACAACAATAATAATAATAATAATAATAATAATAATAATATGAGGATGAGGATGATGATGATGCAAAGTCAGTTCAAGGGTTGAAACTCATTATTCGCGAGAGAAATATTATGTGACAGTTACTACAACATGCCTACCATGAAGAAGAGGTTTTCACATTGGTTTAATCTGTTGAATTAAGTCTCAATCACTGCCTTTTGCATGTAGCCATCAAAACAAGAGAGTAAAGAGAAGCACATCGATACAAAAAGTGCCATTAGCATTCTGTGCTGGGGAAAAAATAAGAAAGATAGAGACTAAAGAGGGAAAGTAAAGAAATAAGACATGACGATAACAATCAAGTCGAGTCACAATGATATTGTCGCTGCCTTTCGGGTCAAAATTTGTTCTTGCCCAATAATCTTGATACGTCTTGTGAACTTTGTTGACGACATCCGAGCACGAGGATGGAGGTTTCCACTGGCAGAGCCTACATCTTTTCTTTCTCTGCTTTGTTTCTGCACGCCCTCTAAGCCCGGAAATCTGACTAGACATCAGCGTCTGGGGTGTAGCCAGTGCTCATTGGCACGATTGGTTCGGTTAGCTTCGGTTTGGTAGGCGGGGTGAGCCAGACTGAGGGCGCAAAGCGACCATCGTGGCACAAACCGATCGTCCTACTTACGCGTTTGTTTTCAAGGCCGCGAGTCGGGCGATCATTTAGCGCTCGCGGTTTTGTATTAGAGAACCGATCCTCCCAGTGGGCACTGGGTATAAGGCGCTTTGCCGTCACACGCAGAAAACCCCTAGTTCGATTCCCATTTGGGGAATTTTTTAAATTATTTTTATTAAGTATCTCAAAAGGGGACGTCAGTCTTGTATGGATGCCAGACATGAATCGGTTCTCAGAGATGGATAACGAGGATTCATGTTTTCGTGATTAAGTGCCTGAGAACACTACTCGGGACCAGATAGACTGACAGGGTCACCAACGCGGAACTGTTAAGGAGGACAAGACAGAGCCCAGTCCGAGATGAAGAGGGAAGAAGGCGATGGTATAGGACATATTCTCAAGAAGTCAGACAGCTGCATAACAAAGGAAGTATTGGCTGAAATCCCCAGGGTAAGAGATCAAGGGAAAGGCCATGTAGAACCTGAAGGAGAGTCACAGAGATTGATGAACAGAAAAGTGGGAAGACATGCAATAATATCAAGAGGCTATCCCACGATAGGGAAAGGCGGAAAGTGACCATTGCCTTTCCCTGATCCAGATCAATGATCCAGGATCAGAAAGGCACTGATGAAGATGATGATCTTGGTCTTTCAGCTGGGACGTTGTATGCCTCTCATTTTCAAGGTTCGCCCAAGCAGGCAGGGTTGAAACCCACCTCATAATTGATCTTAATTGTGTTAATGTGTCTACTTTTTTAACGGGGGAGGGGCGGGGGAGAAGAGGGGGTGTAAAAACACTTAAATTTAAAAACAAAATCCGACTCGTTGGATAAATTGTTAATGTCCATCCCACAGTAGGCAGGAAAACATTCTGTTTTTTACCTGAAGGATTTCCTGCTGAGCACAGCTAAACACAAGACGTTCCCAATGGTTCCGATGATCAGCACGACCAGGAAGAAGTATTTTTCCATGTACTCCGCGGCTATCGTTAAGTTCGCCTTCTGCCTCATTCCGCCATTATGCGAGATCTTGGCAGCGGCCGCCAACGCGAGGATCGTGCTGCTGAAGTTGCCGGATGGAAGTTCCGTATAACCGCGCCCCGCCATGTCACGTGGCAGGTCACGGGTGTCACGTTATGTCACGTGACCACGCTATCTGTGCCACGTCGAGCTTAGGCCACGTCACATGTTGGACGACCACTACACCGCGTCATGTGGGAGGGACCTGAGAAATAGATCAGACCAAGGAAATTGAAATATGTGTTGTTGTTTTTTTTTAACTTAGAAAATAATACTAAACGGGGGTGGAAAAGTACTATGGTCCAATTAGAAATGAGAGCAACGAGTAGCTGAAGATTTCTACCAAAAAAAAGTGTTATCCCTTGCTCAATTTTTAATGTTTGTATAGAGATTTCTACCGGAATATTCTGGACATGGAGAGTTTTCTCTAACCAATTTTCGATTTGCGATTGCTCTTCTACTCAAGTCAGTCTCTCTTGGGGGGGGGGGGTTCTGTCGTCATAGAGCGTGATGAGCGATTTTTCTGTTGCATGAAAATCCCATTAGGATCAATTTCTTCTTTTGCACATCAGATTATTCAGATCTAATTGCATATTCATGCGTGTCTTGCCTTATCGCACAGGCGAAAAGGGCAACTTTATGAACGTCGCGTGGGCACAAGAAATCGTTTGTTAGGTCACTGAAAGTGGGCCGCCTATACGGTTTTAAACA